TCCCCCTGCTTGTGTTCCCTCTCTCGCTGTGTCTCTGTCAAATGAATAAATAAAATCTTAAAAAAAAATAAAATTAGAATAAATGCTCATGTTATTTAAAAAAAAAAAAAAAGGAGAGAGAGACAAGCCATTCAATAAAATAACAAGAAAAGGCTTAAATAGGCACCTCCCCAAAACAGGAAATTCAAATAGCCATAAGCACATGAAAATGTGCTCAACCTCACTTCTCATCAGGGAAGTACAATTAAAGCCAAAATGAGATACCACTACAAATCTACCAGAATGGCTAAAATTAAAAGACTGATAATACCAAGATATAGAGCAACTAAAACTCTAATTCACTGCTGGTGTGAATGTAAAATGATACAACCAATTTGGATAAGAGTTGTAGTTTCCAAAGCTAAAAATGCCCTATTCTATGACTTGGTAATTCCACTCATAGGTAAACAGCCAAGAGAAATTAGGTTAAATAAAATGCTGCAGCCAGAACTAAGCCAGGATGACTGAAATCATAATAGAGCCGGGGGAGATTAGAGGACAGAAGAACAGACTAGAAAGGGAACTAAGAAATTCCGTTTTACTGAGAATATTCTTCCTCAGGGTGGTGGCAGCACAGGTGCATACATCACGGTGCATGCGCACACGGAAACAATCAAGCTGTGGAACACTTAAGTATACTTTAGACACTTCATTGTACACTGTAACCAAAATATTTTTTAAAAAAAAAGAGAATCCCTCAAACATCACCACCTCATGACCTTCTCTCTATAGTTGACTCCCACTTACTTTCTACTACTCCTTCCCAGTCCTTATTAGAGTATTTTTAATTGATCCCTAATCCCTGTTTCCAGAGAACTTTTCACAGGTCACTATTAAAGCATTTAAAACATTTCATTACTTAAATCTATTTAGAGCTGTATACATCTGAAGAAATGTTAAGTTCCCTGAAGAGCTGAGGCCTGGCTTTCTTATTCACCTTGCTTCCAAGGTGCCTAGCACACTGCCATGTACTGGAGATATCAATAAATGTTTTCTGCACTTGATCTTAGCCAAAAGGCCGAGAAGCAATCAATAAATGTTTTCTGGATTTAAATGATGCCTATGGGGATGCCTGGGTAGCTCAGTTGTTAAGCATCTGCCTTCGGCTCAGGTCATGATCCCAGAGTCCTGGGATCGAGCCCCGCATCGGGCTCCCTGCTCAGCGGGAAGCCTGCTTCTCCCTCTTCCTCTGCCTGCCGCTCCCCCTGCTTGTGCTCACTCTCTGACAAATAAATAAAATCTTCTTTAAAAAAATCAATCAATAAATTAAATGATGCCTATGACTTACAGAACAATGCCTCACTAAATCATTCCCCTTAACTCTTGTCTTTTAAAGACAATTTATTTCCCCCTCTCCAATGGCAATCTTCTACCGTTTCTAAAAAGAGGATTTGGGCATGCATAAATAAATACATACATACATACATACATAAATAGAGGATTTGGGAGAAAAAATGCATCTGGCTTTGAAATGGATCTGCACATCATAATCAACCAGCAGGATTGCTGCTCTAAATAAAAATTTATGGAAATACACAAAATGAGAAAGTAAATGATTCTTCTACTTTAACAACAATAAGCTCCTACATTTATTGGATACATACTGTACAGCTCTATGAGGTAACTATTCTTACTAGCTACACCTTAAATGGGAAGTTTAAAAACTGTCCCAGATCATACACTTCCAGTACCTACCAGGGCCAGGATCTAAAGTATGACCACAAAAAAGACTAGGGTGTTAAAGTTATATAAGACCCACGTGCCAAGAGAAAGCTCAAGGAGACCATTTATTTAAAAAAGAATAAAGAGGGGTGCCTAGCTGGCTCAGCCAGTAGAGCATGCAAATCTTGATCTCAGAGTCATGAGTTCAAGGCCCACATTGGGCACAGAGCTTACTTAATATAAATTAATTAATTAATATTTTTTAAAATAAAAAATAAAGAAAATTTGTAAGAAAAAGAAACCCAAATAGTTAAACATATGAAAAGATCCCCAAATTTCCTCATAATGAAAGAAAAGCAAACTCAAACTACATTAGGATGCAATTTCTCATCTATTAGACTGGCAAAAATCCAAAAGTTTGACAACACCTTCTTAGCAGGGCTATTGAGAAGGCAGATGCTCTAATGATGATGATGAGGACACAACCCCTAGGGTGGGCAGTTTGGCAATATTTATCAAAATCACCAATACTTACATAACCTTTGATCCACCCTCTCATATCATTTTTAGGAATTTTTCCTACATATATAATTATACATGTACAAAATGACATTATGGTCAAAGATTTATCACTGCAGCACTATTTAAAATAGCCAAAGACTAGAAATAACCCAAGTGTTTATACAAGTTTGGTTAAATAAACTGAAAGAACATTCTCTATGAACAAATATAGAAAGATCTCTAGCATAATGTAAATTAAAAGAACAAGGTACACATACATGCAACAAAGATATTAACAGTGGGGGAAACTTGGTATAGGGTATAAGGGAGCTCTGTAATCTTTATATTCTGTAAATCTAAAACTGCTTTAAAATAAAAAGCTCAGGAGCACCTGGTGGCTCAGTCAGATAAGCATCTGTCATGATCCTGGGGCCCTGGGATGGGGCCCTGGGATTGGGCCCTGCGTCCGGCTCCCTGCTCAACGGGGAAGTCTGCTTCTCCCTCTCCCTCTGTCCCTCCCTGCCAATCATGCGCTCTCTCTCTCTCAAATAAATAAAATCTTTAAAATAAAACAAAATGAAAAGCTCATTTAAAAAAATAAGGTATAGACAGTATACAGTTCACTGGATTACGTGTAAGAAAGGAGAATGAAACTACGTATTTACCTGCTTACACTTTCATAAAGAAATACTAGAAGAATTCACTGGAAACTATAACAGTGACACATATTTCACGAAGAAGGAACAAGAAAACAGGGGGCAATATTTCTCAATATAAGCTATTATTTTTTTTTTAACTTGTTAAAGATTGTCTTTCCAAAAAAAAAAAAACGGAGTAATTTTTAAAAAGCAGCTCCACAAGAATTATCTCCTTCTCTAATGAAACCCAAGGAAAGTTTCTGGCACAGTATTTACATACCAGCAGATTATGAGTTTAACAACTATTAAACTTCTCTAAACACAAACTTTTAACCTCTATGGTATATGCTTTCCATAATTAAAAATCAAAATATTTTGTTCAATTTTTAGTGAAGATAAATAGAAAAATGGTTTTTTTTTTTTTTAAAGATTTTATTTATTTGTTAGAGAGAGA